GGGAAATAAAGCTTCCAAACCAAGAAAGCCTATCAAGCACGAGAATATTCAGACTAATGTTTTATTCACCAGGGCCTCATTGGCCTGCCTGGCTTCATCTTCCAGCTGGAAAAGACGCCTTTCCAGCTCTTCTTTGGCTCGCTCAGCTTCTTCTCGGAGCTGCTTCTCCCTGGCCAGCCTTTGATTCTCCATCTGGAAACAGAATGAGCAACACCACGTTTGTGGGTTTGCAGCACAATCTCATCCGGGCCTGAGGCAGCTCAGCAAATGAATCTAATGCGGAACGGGCTGCTCTCTAGCTGGTCATGTTCATCAGAGCTGCAATCCTGAAGCTGCTTCCACTTTGCAGCACTGACCTCCTCTAACCAGTATTACCTGTTATTTCAGACTGCTGGAAGAGCACTTGGATGGATCTGTTGGGTACCCCAAATCTTTGCAATCACATATTCAGTTTCACAAACATCATTTGCATCCTCAGACACTGCACGCACACTCGAGCTGTTGCCACATTCAATCCTGCTGCACTTTCTCACCTCCCACACACATATTGATGCAATGCATGGACAGCAAGGGCACAAGCAGGAATAATAATCAGTGTTTTCAACAACAGAGAAGCAGAAAGAATCTACCTTTTTCCTAGCTTTTTCTTCCCTGGCTTGTGCTTTCATTTGCTGGATCTCTATCGAGTCCACTTTTCTTCTCCTCATGAATAGGTCGTGGTTTCCAATGCACAACTGCAAAATCTGGATAGCAAAAGCAAGCAAGCGTGATGTCGATGTACTTGTGCCCCAAGCAGGGGCACAAAGAACCTCACATCAGCCTCACAGAACAGAAGCTGGCAATTCTGACTTCAGCGTAAGTGCTGGCAGTTGCTTCCCTTCCAAGAAAATCAGCACCCAGGGCAGGCAGGCACATAATAGTTTTTCTAGGAAAAGTTTGTAACATTATGGGGGGTTCCTTCTCTCCTTCATCCACCTCTGGTTCAATTTTCCTGAATAAGAACAGGCCAGAAGTACACCCCTCCCAGAGAGGGCAAATGTATGCACCCTGACTTCCCAGACAGAACAATCCTCAGGAAAACACCTACTGAGATGAAATGCTCCCTGGCCTCTCCATAGGTTTTATGAGCAGTATTTCTCACTCAGGTATCAGTCAGTATTGCCAGGCCCAGTTTTAAAGAAAGCAAGCAGGACACTTACCAATTTGTTCACTTTGAGTTGAGAGGAAAAGAACCTGAAGACTTCTGCCTTTTTGTCAAGAGGTTTAATAGTTAACTATAGGAGCAAAAGAAAAAAAAAAAAAGGCAAGCGAGAAGGAGGAAAAACAAAGTTGAAATTATTAATACTAATGCCCATTTTTGCCCACCTCCACTTCTCTCCAGGAAAGCTGCAATTTATGCCACAAATGTGGGGAGTGTGACACAGAGATGTTTTGCTCAGAAGAATCAGAACCAGGGCTGCTGCTGCAGAGATTCCTTATCTTCTCCTGTAGCAGGTTATGTCAGAAGATAAAGCCTCCCACAGACCCACCCTGGTGCCAGTTTGGATAGTGGTTTTCATAATAGTACCACCTGTGCATCACACAGGATACTAAGAACACTGGAAGGAGCACATAACTTGTAATGAGACTAAATTTCACGCCACCCCCCCCACTGTACTTTCTGTAAGTAAAAGACGAGCTTCGAAATCACAGCGGAAAGCTCATCACCGTGGCATTCATAATATCTTTTTCAGAGATCAACACACTTGTTTTGCAAAGGATAAGCAGCAGGGAAGGAACCAGAACGAGGGCTCCACAAGTCTGAATAGCTCAGAGCAGCCTTTGGCTCCTAGGGGAACCGACGTTATGCAGCACATCTCAAAGGCAGGTCTGTTATTTTTATTTTTGTAACAAAGCTCCCTAGGATTTTCCCCTTCTCCCCCAAATTATTTAAACAGAGACAGCTTTCAGTCTGTTCCAAGAATCCCAGTCCACACCCATGCCCATATAAAAAGAATAATATATCAAAGCCATCATACCTCTTTCTCACTATAGGAAATGTTTCTGATAGCACTCCACTCAAATGACTTATTTGGAGAGAACCTGTTATTAATGCTGTAGATATGAATACCTTTGGCATCAACTCCAAGTAGGAGATCTGTGTGGTTTTTATTTTGCTAAAAAACAAGAGATATCAGTAAATGCAATTTATGGTAACATGAAACAACCACAGACAAGAACCACGCTTAAACTAATACAGAGATATTTATCTGTATTTTTAGGAAACTGATGTTCCCACAAAAATATTATGAATGTTGTCACTGCTAGCTAATAAACCAAGTCCTCTAGGTTGACTACAACAGCTCAAATTTTCAGTCTCGTTCTTCATCCTATTACATACCCAGAGGTACTCAAGACATTGTCAGACTGTATTAACTGGTTTATTCACCTACTCATCTAGCAGGCAAGCAAATCCAAGTCAGGACAATCAGTACCCGGCCCACCAGCAGCAGAGAAAAGCAGAAGTCAAAAATCCCAGTTCCAGAGGCACTTAAAAAGACAGTACTGTAATCTACAGCAATTGAGAACTGCTAAAATAAAACACTTACAGCAATTGGAAAATAATTGACACCGTACATTTCCAAGTCTTGTGCAATTTTCAGGTAGTTCATCTCAGCTTCATCCCTAGAGAATAAGGCCAAGATTATACTTGAAGACTCCTTTCCAGCCCTTCTCTCCTAGCTGACTCCACATTTCCCCCTCAGAAAAGAACAGGCAATCTGGTCCTTCGTGCTTTAATTTTGCCATCTTACTCTCAACAACAGAAAAAGGATAATAAAAACAGCATCTCTCCAGAATAAAGGTAGTAAAGCTGTACCTATTTTGAATCACCTATAGTGTAATCTTCATTACAATTCAATTCCAGTCTTATCCTTGCATTTGTTTTTTGCCACTGTATCATCATTACATCTTGGAGACCTACCCCAACACTGTAGGTACTTTGCAAAACTCAAATTTTACTGAAGACAGCAAATAACCAGTTACCGAAATGTATGGGGTTATTTCAGTACCTGGCAATACCCCTGTGCTCGGCGTACCAAGCAGTAATCTTTTCTTCCCACATCTCTGCCGTCAGCTGATACTGCCTGAGGACCTACAGAGAAAGGAAGGAGTTTGGTTTCCTTTGAAGAGACAAACACAGGTGCTGCCTCTCCCAGGTACACGAATGCAGTTCACAGCTCGGTCATTTTGCCAAGTTCAGGGCAGACACAAACAGTTTTTTCAAGTTCTGGTTAAACCCACAGCAACATCTGTGTTGCAAAGAACAGATTCAAAGATTTGTTGTTATACAGAATCCAGACTTACCCTTTTGGGTAAAAGTTCATCATGGGCTAGAAAGCCTGGCTCATGGAAGTTTGGGTCGTAGTCACCATACTGTGCCAAGAAAAGACAAGATGCTTCAGTTTGTTAGATGCAGAATGCTGAAGGACTTGTTGCTTGCGTAGCTTGATGCCATCGCTTGAGACAGATTTTGTTTTGGTTCTCCCGTATGCAGGGTAATCCATAACAAACAGGCTCCCCTCATCAGAGCTGCCCACGGAAGTTATTTCCAGCCTTTGTGCCATGCACGTGGCTCAAACACAGCCACTAATTTCAGTCCTAGGCTGCAGCGCTCAGTAACTACAGATATGAAGGAATCTCCCCTGACTTCATCCCCTCCTCTGGACTACAGGTTCCCCGCAGGAGCGTAAGCTCCCCTGCTCCTGTAGCCTCCTGCACACGGGCTGGGCTGCTGCAGACAACTTGTGTTCACCTCCTGCCACTGCAGAAGTTTGGCCCTTGGCATGAAGAGCACTATGTTCCGAGAGGTACTAAAAAACACTGTGTCCTTCCATTGTGAGCTCTGGTATCAGCACCTGCTGTAACCACAAACATTTAAACCAACAGGAAATAATTCTAGCTATATTAAAATGTTAGGTCCAAAGAAATCCCCCAAGTTGCAAAAGCATAGTATGTAATACCAAAATCCTTGTAGTGGCATTTAGAGTTTATTTTTCTAGCTATGCCTGCAATTTCCAGGATGACCTACTTGAACAGCAAGTTTTAACACTGTTGTGTTTTATGTACCATCATGTACACGGGTTGATTAAAAAAAAAAAGGAATAAAAAAAGCACTTCTATGCACAAACCTTGGCCTGAACAGCATAAGAAGCCAGTAAAACTGTTGCTTCTGGAGAACAATAGATTTCCTCATCCAGTATTTGTTTCTTAACCTAAATCAAGAGAAAAAGGGAGAAAGTTAAAGAAGCTCCAAGTCAGGACTTATGTCAGGCTTGAAATGAAACTAGACATGCCCAGACTATAACTTGGCAAACATCACCATTATGAGTTAATAAAGCAACAATAAAATGGCATTCAGAAACACAGAAAGCCTGTACTTAGCATTCTTTTACAGGGAAAAAAAAAAAATAATCCACCAAAACCTAAGTATCCTAATTTTAAATTCATAGAGATGGCAGTCAGCTGCCTTCAAACATTTATATGAAGTCTCAAAAAATAATTTTATTAACTATGATCTTCATTGTCTTCATTCCTTTTAGCAATTCTTCTTTTCCCTTCTGCTTTGGAAAAGTTAGCTTTACAACATGTAAAACATCACATCTTAGGTTGAAAGGGACCGCCCGGAGGTCATCTAGTCAAAGCAGGTCCACCTGGGCCAGACTGCTCAGGGCTGTCCCGGTAACATCACGAGGACAGAGATGTACTGAAAACCGTAACAGTATGTTCCCAAGCTTTGATAAAGAGACCCCACAAAAGAGAGTGGAATAAAAGAGGACTTAATTTCTTCAGTTACAGTGGTCCAAGCACAACAACAAAACAGGAGCTTAAAAATAAAAGCCCAGAATAAATGGTAAAATCTTCTAACGTTCTTTGCATTTTAATAATCTATGGTGCTACTGACATCAGCAGTGTAACCATTTGTAAGATGTGGCTTGATTTTAAATCATTTGGGTAATTGTCATTTGAAAACTTAAGAAGGAAGGAGAAATTAATCTTCACAACTCCTCCTCTCAGGTGCAACGTATTTAGCCTACCAGCAAGTACAGAACTAGAAACTTTTGCATATAACACACAGTCCTAAACATTTCCAGAAAGAAGAATTACTTGCGATAACACTGAGCTATCTTTACAAATATGTTTTGGCACTGTAGGCACTGTGAACTGAAATGAACCATCAAGGAAGTTTTTCTCTGAAATTTAGTCTCTGGTGAGCCCAATATATGAACCTGAGTTATAGTACAGGGAAAATACTTTCTAAGCTGTTAAATGGAAAGAATGAAAAGACTTTTCTCTCCAAATTGGAAAGCTCCAATTTTATACTCCATGGTACAAATCATACATTTCGGAATTTAGATAAATCCCCCTTAAGTGTCTGGCGGTTTTTTCGATCAGTTCTTACAAGGACCTTTTCTTACACTTCTTTATGAAGGAGTAAATTACCTAATGTTAAACAGTTAGCTTTAGTCATTTACATTTCTCCACACATTTTGCAAAAAGCTGTTATGCCACATTCATTTGTAAAGGTCTGAATAGTCAGTAAAGCTGAAATCTGCAGGCAGTCAGATGTCCATACATGTTTTTCCTATTAGCATCCAGGTGTGCTCTTAAGTTCTTATAGTCAGGAAACACTGCAAGTTCAAATTTGTTTCAGTCTTGTTTTTCTACTTTGGAATGAGAAGAATTTGCTAATTGCATATCTGCTAGTCAAGGCAGGTTCAAGGAGAAAAGAAAGAGTGGAAAAAAAAAAGTCAGGATTAAAAGACTAGGAAAAGTTTTGTGCCTGCCATTCCTTTCCGAAATTAGTGTAAGAAACAATTGCCAAGTGGTTGGGGGTTCTGGATGAAGTTCTAGTTAACATATTAACCCCCAGAACCACATTTTCTCACTATTTCATCAACAAATCCTCCTCATGGAACAAGTGTATTTACTGCACTTATTTACAGATACAGACAGAATTTATTCCATACACCCAATCTACTTGCACAGACACATACTGCGGAAACCTACCAGAATAAAGCAACACCACAAGGCTGGAACTTGCAGAGGACTCCACAGCAACTCAGGAGAGAAGCTGGATGTCACAGAGATTGGAACAAAGAGCTGATCAACAAGTGATCAGCCCAAACTTAGGGCTATCGCTGCGGCTATGGAGCCACAGCAGGACTTTTCCTTTATTTTGATAACAAAGTATTGCACTCCCAAGAATTTGCTCCACCATCTAGTTTTTAATGGACAAAAGAAAACCAAGTGGCAAGTAAGAGACCTGCCTCTGCAAAGTTATTAGCATCAACGCCCAGGTGGGGTTAATTTTATTACTTTTAGTGACTTCCATCTCATGGAAATTTGTGAGAACCACCATGGCGTAGAGACCAAGCTGTGTTCCCACAGCCAACAACTCTGCCCTCGAGCACTGTACTGCTGCCCTGCAGCTCCTCAGAAGCTGCCCCTACGGCAGAGCTGAAGTAGGTCCTGTTGTCTGTAATGAAGATTTGTCAAGGCTGGGGATTTATTCTGCTAGGATGAGTAGCAGGCGGACTGCTCAGTGGAGTAGGGCAGACAAACTGGCTAATTTGACGGGTAGAAGTCAAGTGTCCAGACTTGCACACACTTAAAAGAATACCAACGCCGTACCAAGGGAACGGCACTTCTCCTGCAGGGGCTATCAGACACTATGATGATGTCTCCAGACCTTTGTCTTTAAAAGAATCGCACATTGCAGTGAATGTTCCCAGTCATAGCTGTGTATGCTCCTCCACTCCTTTTGAAATTCGCTAGATGAACAAAACTATTTCAGAATGGCTATTAAAATGTATGATCTTTTCCCCTCCCCGCCCCTAGTCCAAAATGAAGATCTAAGAAGGACAGGTTTGGGAGTCCTCGTTTTCTAGCGATTGTGCCTTCCACAGTCACACACAACAAGATCTTCCAGTAACCACACGGACTGTTTTTAGGAACTCGCACGTTTTCATTTCAGGGATAGGCTGAAAGGTGGTCACAGGTCTTGTTCCACCTGCAGCTGATACGGGTGAAAAAGCTTGTTGTCCCCAACTGCTGGTCACCATTCCCCCCCTCTTCTCCACCTTCACAACTGCCACCGTAACGGCTGGTGCAGTCACTCCCCACGCGGTGCCCACATCTAATGACAGGTCTCTTCCAATTCTGCTCATTTTGAAAGAACTAGGTTAGGGAATGGTTACACCAGCAGGTCTAAGACAATGATAAAGAGCTGCTGAGATTTTCTTCACCCAGCTTAGCTGCAGCCAGAGCAGATCAGATGATGACAGTCCCCAAGATAACTTCTGAAGCTGATGACTTCACTTCATACATCTCAGCACTGACAGGTTAGGGCAAAAGCCTCACAGTTCTTCAAGCAGTGGCAGCCTTGTATGGATTTTTTTTTTTAAACCCATACTATAGGAGCAAAACAAGTCTTGAATATTCAGATGTGGAATTATCACCCAAACAGCTAGATGCAAAAGTAATTTTCCATGAAACTACAGGTCTCGGCAATTTAAGCCCCAACTCCTCACACAAACAGTAAAAGAAGCCATCAGGAGAATAAAAACCTGTAGAAGGCAAATAACGATCAGCTTACCAGTACACAAAACCACAGCAGTCAAGAGAGATGTTTGCAGTTTATAAAAACAAGATCTTTACAGAGACATCAATACAGCTGAAGCCAGCAGAACCATTCTGAGACTTGCAGCTGCCAAGAAGATCAAAGACAATACAAAAGGACCGGGGTAAATACAGAAGGAATTAATGGTTAAAAACTGTTCCTGACCTGAAGGAAGAATAAATGCTGGGTAATTTCCTGTAATAGCTCCTCTTCTACCTTCTCTGGGTAGAATTTAGCCAGAAAATGAAAGCTAATGGGATCTTCTTTGGGGATTTCTTGATCTAAAACCTGTTTACAGATGAAATAAAATCAGCAGCAAAAATAGCACATAACTGTCTCAAAATAATATTCCAGAGGAAAAGCAGAAAGCAGCCAACAATCCACTTAAAGCAACCTTCCCGTATTTCAGAAGGAAGGGCAACGCTGAGCTTTCATCTACTAGCAATCAGTGCATGTAGTGGTGACTGGTGTGTAAGACTTCAGGCCAAATGTGACAGAAGCAATCAGACCAAATAACACAATTAACTTGAGTCTTAAAATCTGATACCGCCTAAAATGAGGAGCTGGCATGTAACACACTCCTTTAGCCCTTGAGCTGTGAAAAGCAAATCTTTTTAGAAGCAGAAAAAAGCCACGCTGTTATTTTTCTGTTTCCTGTACCTTTTTGTCCATCTTTAACCAGGTACACATTCCTTTTACTGTGTACTGCAAGCCAAAGAACCAAGTCTCCCTTAAACCAAGTGCTCGGCACACCAGGTCAAACAAGTCCTTTCCCTTCCACTTCATCTAAAAGAGAAAATGAAAATTAAGAAGAACAGTATGTCTTGAATAAATTTGCTACTTTTTAGTCTGAGCAAACTAGGTGACCATTTGCTTTTCTCCTACAAACTCTTATTTCACCTTTACCTCTGCAATGAAATACACCTGCCGTGGTCCACAGTAAAGGTGCAACAGATCAAATGCTCTACCTCCTCTTCCTCTCCTCCAGAGGAACATTCACAGAGCAGCTGTAGTTCAACCACAGCACCAAGCACTTCATGAGCACAAGGAACAGGGACTGTAATATTGATTTCCTAGGACAGCAGGCAGCTTTATAAATATTGTAAAAATCTTACTCAATAGTTTATACAAATTGAAGAGAATGACAGAAGGCCAGGAGAAATCAAAGGAGTGCCAGGGCACAGTGTAAAAATGTCAAGTAATGAAAATAAATCCATCTTTCACATACCTCAGCTATTTTAGTAGCACTAAGTCAAGCCTTTACGCTACTCTGATTTAAACAAACAGGAGCCTGACTTTTAAAGTAATTTAGTAGCCCGGCTCCATAGAGATTAAAGGTCCCAAAATTCACACACATACAATGCTTCATTTTTTCACTAAAGAGGCTGCACATCTGTTTCTTCTATTCACCAAGAAGATGATTTTGTCCAATTGCATGGGTCGAACACTAAAACCCTAATGGCAAAAAAAATAATTTTTAGGCAATATTTGGATGGAAAACAAATAAACTGCAGTTTACAAATGGCAAATTTGAAGAGAGTGTCCCAGATAAACTGAGCCCAGAAGAACCATTTTATTAATTATTCTATAAGGAAAATCTTTGCACCAGCTCTGACCCAGCCTTCTTTACCTCCAAGCTAGCAGTACATCTTATATTTCTTACCAAAAAAAAGAATTTTGTAGGGAAGTAGATAAACTGACAAACGCACCCAGCATCATGTGCCAGAAGCAGGTCTACTGCTAATTTAGCCGTGTCACAGTCAAATGGATTTCATGGAAACAGCTTTAAATTCTTAGTAGTCAGAGGTGTTTAACAGAAGAATGTATCTGAGACTAGCTAATCCGTTGTTTATAAAAATAACGGACCAGTTTTAAGACCAACCGTGCACCAATATTTAGGACTTTTCAAATTTATGTCTTGCTAATACAAAGGTCAGTCTCCACCTTTCCGGCATTCTGCTGAGGACTGTTACCTCACAGCTGAACTCCATTTCAGCATCCACTGTTATAATTTTCACTTTAAAAGTCTTTGGTTGTTTCTTCTTCAGGCCTCGGATGGACATATTTTTCAGTTTATGAGGATAGCCACACCTGAAATCAAACACACAGAACATTTAGGGCTGGAAATTCAGTAACATTTTCTTGGCTAGATCCCAAAGCAGGACGAATCCAAACTTGCAGAATGAAGTCACCTTTAAACACGCAATTTTGCATCCAGGACAACAACAAAGGATGTTGAAAGCAAAAAATTTAGTTTGCCCCTTAAAATAAATTGCTCCAAAACATCATGTCTTTACTCAGACCTCAGCAAACCCCAAGTTCCTGCAGAAAGAACAGCATTCAGACCTTATGTGGCAAGATCCAGGGGCCTGTCTCTCGCTACAGCTGAGGACACCAAGGGAACCTCCAACCATAGAATCACAGAATTATAGAATGTTCAGGGTTGGTAGTGACCGCTAGAGATCATCTAAATCCAACTCCCCTGCCAGAGCAGGATCACCCAGGGCAGCCACACAGGAATGCATCCAGGCAGGGTTTGAACGTCTCCAGAGAAGGAGACTCTGCACCCTCTCTGGGCAGCCTGGGCCAGAGCTCCGGCACCCGCACAGCCAACAAGTTTCTCCTCATGTTGAGGTGGAACTTCCCATGTTCTAATCCTATGCTCTAATCACAGAACTGTCAGCATTGGAAGGGACCTTAAAGATCATCCAGTTCCAATCCCGCCACCATGGGCAGGGACATCCCACACTCGATCAGGCTGCCCAGAGCCCCATCCAGCCTGGCCTGAAAAACTCCCAGGGACAGGGCTGCCACCCCCTCTCTGGGCAACCTGTGCCAGGGTCTCACCACCTTCATGGTGAAGAGCTTCTTCCTAAAGTCCAATCTGAATTGATCCAACTCTACTTTAAATCCATTCCCTCTAGTCCTACCACCACTCGACATCCTCACAAGTCCCTCACCATGGCCATGCAATCCAGAGGCCTCTTGCAATAAAGCCCTGCAATGGGTGAATGTTTATAGTTTCATAAAAACGATGCCTGGCTTTTGAATAATCCACCAGAAATAGGACATTCCTCACCCCTTTTACATATCCAAGCAAAATTCCCTCTCTCAAAGGTCTCTGTGGCATATGCTGACACCAAAAGCATCAGTGGAAGTTCCACTTGTAAAACAGAACGCTACATCGCGCCGCAAAACCTTATGATACCAAATGAAACTTCTTCCATCAGTTATTGCTCCTGGAGCAACAAACCTATCGAGTCTCTCCACAACATGAGATCTTAACTCCCTGAAACAATACAAACGTCAAAATAAAGTTATGCAGTGCAATTAAGCTGAGTTTACCATGTTCTCTTGGGCATACTAATTCTCAGTGATAAAAGTTACTCAGAACAGAAAGTTTCCCAGTGGAGTTCTTGGTGAAAGGAATTGAATTTCACAGAAGCCTACAGAAAATTCCTTCCAATATCTTCTATTCAAAATGCCACTGACTGCCTGCCATCAAGAAAATTGATGAGACGTGCTATTTCCACAGCCGCAAGGGTTTTGTGGATACCATTCAAATCAAATGTTGAAAGCTAGGGTGAAATGATAGCGCAAATCTGCATTACACTGTTCTCAGGTGTTTAGTTTTGAGCACAAGAAATCAGCCTCTAAAATCATCCTCTTCTTTGTACTTTATAAAATGAATAGCTTAGACTCTGTGAACTATATAGGTCAAGAAGAAACTGAAGCATTCTTGGTTTCCTACAATATAAGGCTATTAGTGTGGCAGGCTTCCAATCCCTCCTTAAGGAATTCCAAAATAAAGTTCTAGTTTAAACCAAAAATTTCCATTTGTCTGCACCTTCCAGGATTTCATAAAACATCTTGTCCCCCCCCTCTGCTTCTGCTGAGCTCTAAACTGGCTTGCAAATGTACTGATTAGTTTCCACTTACTTTGTACATCTCCTTCATCCAAAAATTTCAAGTAGCTAAATAAGAGGTAAAATACATATATGGAAGTTGGGTGATTTTTTTTTTTTCCCAATTGTAGGGAAGCTGAGACAGAGAACAGATGAGTTACTTACCAAATCATATGGACAGCAGAGCAGAGCTGAGAATAAGTACTTGAGACAATTCAGAGAGGGGAAGAAAAGCTCAAGAGGACATTCATACTTCTGACACCAGTGAGACCAGTTGAGGAGTCAATCTCCCTCCAGTTGGCTCTGGTAAAGTTTCTGCTGAACTCTTGTACAGTTTGGAGCAACCCACTTCACAAAAGATAATGGGTTAACTGAAGAGAACCCAAATGGCCAAGGGCTAGAAAATAACCTGTGGTAAAATTAAGGTACTGGTTAGTACAGAGAAGGGACACGTGTGACGAGACATTTTAATGTCTTCTCTTCACAATCACAATGGTTAGGACAGGGAATAATGGGCTTAATTAAATTGCAGACATGTTGCACACTAAGAAAAAAAAAATCACTAACAATAAGAATATTACGATGCTGGAAAAAGTGTAGGATGGAATCCCTGCCTTTCTGAACTTCAAATGGGTGTGGCAGCATCTGCTCCTTCTTCGGGGCTGGAGAGAACTCAACGTCCTCCAAGGGCTCCCCCCAAGCTGCTCCTTCTGCTGGGACTGGCATGTCCAGAGTCCAAACCCCGGGGTACCCCCAGGTCCTCAGGGAATAGTTTTTTAGGGGAATGAAAAACAGCTCTTGCCACAGAGCACGTCCCCTCTGTAACTGAGGCAACACCTCAGAGCACGCTGCCAAGCAGAATTCAGGTCTCGTGTATTTAGCACAGAAAAGTCTAATTAAGGGGAGAGGAATATTTAAAAACCAAAAATAAATTACCATAGTATTATGGTGGGTTTATGTATGTTTTTATGTATGGTTATTAGGCCACAGTAATATTGACAGGGAGAGCATCAGGTGAAGGCATCCAAACCGGCAGTAATTACTGCAGGGATTTTTCGATCTCTGATCTGCAAGCTGCAACACAGCTAACAGCAAAATTATATTTTAACCTGTTACATTCCAAAGGTCTTTCTCATCCATTTCTCATCAAAACCAAAGCTTTACTGTAAATAATTGCACCACTGGACACAGCAGTTAAAGCATGAGAACTACAAACTACAATACTGGAAACAACCCCTTCTATTAGTTCTAGAAGAAACACCAACGACTGAAGATGAAGGAGAAACAAGAAATTTCTAAATTCAGTTTCTTAATATGTAATTTGAAACAGCCAATGGAATTAAACACAAACTTGAAATCAGAGATGGTACAGAACATTCTCAGAGTTTCATATGGAAAACACTGAAAATTGAACAACTGCAGAAGAATGCACTAATTTTCTTAAAATACAAGAAAAACGCCAGAGTCCTTCATATGCACTTTGAAGTCCTTTCTTTTTTCTTGTATAACTTGGTTGAAATGACAATATAATTTGTTCAACACTTCCAATAGCATCTTTTCTCCTTTCCAGAATTTTTATTCCATGGAAAAGTACATTCTGACTCACAGTGAAAAGACATTTTTGAATATCAAATTTTTCCCAAGAAATGTAAACGGCATTTTAATCAATAGCACCAGTAAAGACATAGAAAACGTTTTCACGCTGAATAGCTTAAATGAACATCAGATTCTGTTAAGTGCTTTTGCTTACACTGTCAGTCAGGGTTTTAGAAATACAGCTTTTTTGAAATAACAGAAATCTTGCCGACTAAGACAATCTGCGTTTACAATCTTTTGTTTAAATGCAAAAGAAATCCGCTCTCTAGCTCTCTGCTAACAACAACATTTAACTGCGAATCACGTGCAATGTGTTTCAAGATAAGAGTTTCCATCGCTGAGCTCCAGTGATTTATTTCCCCAGTTGCCACAGGGATCTAATCCAGAAGCTGCAAAATGCAATAAATCAGAGCATGCCACAACCTTTCCACAGCGCACGTTAACAGGGCGGGGTGAGAAAAGATTCCCGTCCAGCCAGACTCTGGGAACAGATAGTTCAGAAGATGTGAACATCCGCAGCTTCTCCTGCACCTTATGAAAACCCAACAGAAAGACGATAAAAGCTTTGCTTGAGGAAGGGAACAGAAATGAGGCAAAGAGGAACACAATTTGCTAAAAATTAAAGAGTCCTGACTCTGCCTTTTGGCGTGTTCATGTCCGAGATGGAAGAGCTGGCATCCACCAGCTCTGACTGGATCCTATACTCTTCTCCCTTCTTTAAAGGACAAACTAGTGCCTGAGCAAAACACGGGGGTGCCAGGGCAACTGGGACCAGGAGGCAATAGCAAGAAGAACTGGCAAAGCGACTCTTGCAAGGGCTGATGCTTATCTCTATCCCAGCACTCGATGGGCAGTCCTGCGACACCACCGCGCTCTACACTTTATCGAAATGGGAGATAACCTGCACATCAGATACTACTGAGAATTAACTGAAAATTACAAAGAGGGATTTACATCTGCATTCCCCCCCAAAGCTCAATAAATCCACCAGAACTCAGTACACAAGAGACAGAACACAGATAAACACTTCAATGAACAAGCTGCAGTTAACATTCCCAAGAGTGAGGGTACAATTTACTTTCTGTTTGGCATTTCCACGGTGAACAGATGGTTTGCAGGGCTCTTTACAGGATATAAAGATTTCCCTTCACATGGCACTTGCTCTCAGTGACAAACCCTGTGCAAGCTATTACCAATTACCCTTTGGTTGGCCACACTCAACTGAAGAAGCATCTGTTTTCACACAAAAAGCCAGCAGCACTTCTTAAGGTGAGACCTCCCGAGTTTCAGCCACAGGCAGGTGAGGAATTAACAACAATTGTGAGGCCCCTCTCTTACACTCTTCAAAGCGATCTGCCCTTAAAGACCAGCACACACACAGGGCTGCAACTACACCAGCCTCACCAAGCTGGAAATGCAAAACCCTTGGGAGTGCAGTGTGGCTTAAAGAAACAAGGTTTGGGAAGTGCTTTGGGAGCCACCAGTCAAAGATGCTTGAAGCATCAAATGCAAAAAGTACATTAACATAGATACTACAATTTGAAAGTCTCCTGTCATTCCTGAAATACTTACAGCAACTCTTAATCACAAATTCCCCTGACTCACTAAGCTCAGAAATTAATACAAGCAATTTGAACACAGACAATGCAGGAAAGCGTTGAGCTTTTTTACAGTTGTTGACTCATACTTCTGCCTGTGCTCCTTGCCTTGCCGAAGTAACAATTTAAGCAAACAAGTCATTGTTTTAAAGTGGGTCAGCAATATAAAGGCTTTTCTTACCTCTCCATCTAAAAAGAAGTTGTCTAAAGTCACCAGCTGGAATCAAGACTTACCTCACAGATCATTTTCTGAATGAAGATAAGAAAAAAAAAATGTATTTCTAATCCAAAATTCCATGGTTTTCAGCAGACATCAACATCCAGCCCTCACAAGTTCTGCCACTGAAAATAAAATCCAAGAACAACTTTTATACTTGATCCCCCTTTCCTTTGTTTCCTATGAACTGCAGCATGTTAGCGCCCTCTGAAAAATCAAAGAATTGCTTTCCCAGGTGATATGAAAGGCTCTTAACTATTTCCTGCCTGCGCCTGCAAGACTCCTCCCAACTGCTCTCCACTCTTACCTCAAGCAATAAAGCACTAAAATAGGAGAAGCTGACAAATCTTGACTTGGCTATCTGCAAGAACTGATAATGAACTTCCAAGTAACTCCTTCGATAATATTTGATCAAACTGTTTCAACAGCGTCTCCAGCCATACAAAGAGCGGCCTGTTCTCACCAGCCACCTTAAGCAGGGAAACTGCACTGTGGTGTCCTATTAAGTAAATACGATTCCCTACCTGCCCTCTTCCTGTGGTGAGAGATGATGGGACAACGATACCTTTAGAGAACAAGCCTGAAAAGTGGGCAGCAGCCAAAATACTTGTCAGTGGAAAAAGATAAATGAACATATTTAAATAAAATCAAGGACAGACTCAGCTTGCAGTCACAGGAAGAGAGACCACAAGCTCCGTGAGCTGCCAGGAGCACATTAATTCAAAGGCAATGGCAAAGTCAAGACTTCTTTTAGTTGCTCAGGTTTGGTTATTTTTACCCTTCCATTTACAGCCATTTAATTTCTCCCCGGGTATGGACAAACGAGGACAGCAGGCCAGCTCTCACTTCGTATATGTTACAGTTATTCCAGATCTACATGGAAAATCTTCCAAGATTTGACTCATTTACATAAGAGCAGGTGGAAGAGCACAAAATTACCTCTTGTGCCAACAGCCCTCCACGCCACAAACCGCCGCTGTGCTGCCAGCTTCACCCCCGAAACTCAGCGCAAAGCAGC